CCTATCAACATGGCGCCGCCGCCGCCGCCGCCGGGCCGCCGTGGCTATCGTCTGGGTCGTTCCGTCTGCTGGCGTCGGTGCTCAAGGCGAGGAACAAGGAGACCAGGGCGCTGGTGCCGCAGGCGTGCGAGCTGGCGCTGGGGAGACTGCACGCGCTGGGGTAAGGGTTGTGTGTGTGTGTGTGGTTTTGGTGCAATTGATAGGTGGCATGTAGCAGTGATGCGTGTTTAGGTTCAAGTGATGGCGGCGGCGGCGGCGGCGGCGGCGGCGGTGATGGTGGTTGTTGTGCGGGTGATGCTTGATTTGGTGGTGGCGGTGGTGGTGTGGTTTTGTAGCCGCGATTCGTGTTTTGGTTCTAGCGACGGCGGAGGCGGCGGTGGCAGTGGTGGCGATGCTCGGTTCGGTAACCCGGACGGCGGTCATAGACGATGCGGTGGTCTTGGCGATTTCATGGGAAAAGGGGGCGAGAGAGCTGGCCGGTGCTGGGGAAGGTTGCGCGAGCTGTAGGAGGGGGAAACAATCTTGCTTTGAAGGCGGCCTTTGTGATGGTTGTTGAGGGATACCATACCCAACGAAGACTGCGACAGTGATTGCGCATGCATGAAGAACATGACATCGATTGATATCGGTCGTGCTCGGGCAAGTAGGGGGGGGCACGAGAGGACCCCTTGCACGCGCTTGTGGAGGTGACTGAGCCTCGGCTCACTCGATGGGCCTGTGTTTAGATATGTTAGATTATTAGATAATTGAAGGACATGACGGTACTCAAACTTCATCTCTGACTTCGGATGTATCTCAATCACCTGTAGCCCGCAGGTGCACCCCGCCCAACGCGTCATTCACGGCCGTAGCCGTTCCGCCTGAATTGTGTACACAGCTATGCTGTTGTATCGAACATGCTGCCGATGCATGCACACCCTTTGCTGCACTACCTATGTCCTTCGGATGTTCCAACCAATGAAAAAAGGCGGTTGACGTCGGTGGACCAGGGGGCATCGGGGTGGGGCGAGCGGTGGCTGGAGGGCCCGGTTGTGGATACGCTTCCGGACTTTCTGGACCTCTCGAAGGAGCTCCTCGTGACGCAGCTGCACTGTTTCCAGCCGTCTACGGTGAGAAAAATGGTCAAAACGGTGCCCCCCCCCCGCACGTACAAGGACTAGAGGTATCGCTCTGGGGGTAGGTGCTTTCCTTGTCGCTCTCTCTCTCTCTCTCTCTTTCTCCTAGGTTGAGGTGTCCTCTTTCTCCTTGTTGGTGTAATCCACCTCCTGTTGGAGCCTCCGTGTATCTCAACCCCCCGCTTTTTTTGTCGTTCATCGTGAGAGTGTGCAGAGCCTTTCTGCTGGCGTGGAGTGTGAACAGGACCGAAAACCACCGCAGCCAACACGAAGTAGGTGTTTCCCATGTTTTTTTTGTTTTTTTTTCCTTCATTCGTCAAAGTCGCCCGTAGCTTCTCTGCACGCTGATCAATTTGGGGGCACCGTGGACTGTCTAGGTCGGCCTTCATTCGCACGAGAGAACTCACCTCCCGTTGACCCCCCCCTCCCCCATCCCCCTTGACGACGTTGCATCCTGCGAAACCCCTTTCGGTTTGGCGTACGTAGTCAACCACGGGGGCACCTGGGACTTCACTGGCCAGCGCCCTGTCCGCGCGCGCGTCGTTAAGCGGTGGCGGCGGCGGCGGGGCGGGGGGTGGCTTCGCGTCAGAAGCGATGGCGACCCACTTCTCCGGCCTCATGACCGTGTTCCGGCTGCTGCTGTCCCTCCCGACACCGCCGGCCTCCTCGCCGCTGCCCGGCGATACCACCGGCGGTAGCGGTGGCGGTGGGCATTCGGTGCCGCCGGACCTCGTGCGGAGGGGGCTGTCAGTGCTAGAGGCGTCCCACAGGACCGGGGGACTGTTCCGCTTTCCGCCGTTCGCTGCGACGTGGCTGCAGCCGCTGCTGACCGACGCGCTGCGGGGGCTGGCGGAAGGGGCGCATCCGTTGACGCAGGAAGAGGTCCACCGCCTCGTTTTCGACCTTGCGGAGGTGAGGGAAGAGCGTGGCGTGGTGGCGTGGCTGTAGGCGTCGAACGCGTTCGTTCGTGCTGCTGCTTGCTGGACATGTGTCTTGGTTTAGTTTTGGGGAAACGACACAACAGAGGGTATACCCTGGTCGAAAAGCGACACACCTGGGTACACAGTCATTAACAACAGTAAATGCATTCATACCATTGGTCAGCGCCCAATTTCACCCCGGTGTTTCCGAAAAGGCGCAGGGTATACCCTGCCGTGACTACTTTTCTCAGCAACTGTACCCTGTTTTCGGAAATGTACCCTGACCTGACGGGAAAAGAGACCCTTTCATCAATCATTTCCCCCGCAGGAATCTTGCCAACTCCTTTTCCCTTCCAACCATGGGATACCAAACGGCGAATCTTCCCGCCGAATAACAACCATGGCAACGGGGCAGGAATCAGTTTCCGCCCCTGCGAAACAACACCAACCATCACCTCTTCCGCTCGAAATCAACAATGGCCGGGCAACACCCCAGCACAATTGTTCCGTTTGGAAACATGGACACGCGCGTACAATACCCCGTGGACTACTGCTTGCTGCAGTCTATGTGCGAGATGCACGGGTCACGCTATGAAAGCAAGACCGATCCAGCATGGTTGACATGCATATGCATGTGTGCGGGCGTGTGTTGTCGGTTGTGTCTCAATTGCGATGTGCCGTGTGTGCGTGCGTGTGTTGTATGTTGTGTCTCAATTGCGATGTGTTTCTTGCTTGAACTACTGCTGTAGCAGCAGCGGTCACGCTTACCAGCCAACCAAGCCGACCAATCATTCGATGTAGTAAGAAGACGTCAGGCTTCAGCGGGATGAGCCGATGAAATACAACGCGAGCGCTCTTTCTTCTTTCTACCGACAGGGAGGGTGATTGAGTTGGACGACAGAGCAGTGTCCTGCTGCTAGAGTAAGGATAAGACTCGTGTGTGCGTGATTGATGTCAAGTGCATGTCTGTGTGTGCTGGTCCTGCCTCTCCCCTCCACCCTATCTGCGGGCGCGAGCTCGCCGCCAGCACAGCGCCACACATTGGCACATGCATATATATGCATGTCAACCATGCTGAATCGGTCTTGCTTTCATAGCGTGACCCGTGCATCTCGCACATAGACTGCAGCAAGCAGTAGTCCACGGGGTATTGTACGCGCGTGTCCATGTTTCCAAACGGAACAATTGTGCTGGGGTGTTGCCCGGCCATTATTGATTTCGAGCGGAAGAGGTGATGGTTGGTGTTGTTTCGCAGGGGCGGAAACTGATTCCTGCCCCGTTGCCATGGTTGTTATTCGGCGGGAAGATTCGCCGTTTGGTATCCCATGGTTGGAAGGGAAAAGGAGTTGGCAAGATTCCTGCGGGGGAAATGATTGATGAAAGGGTCTCTTTTCCCGTCAGGTCAGGGTACATTTCCGAAAACAGGGTACAGTTGCTGAGAAAAGTAGTCACGGCAGGGTATACCCTGCGCCTTTTCGGACGCACCGGGGTGAAATTGGGCGCTGACCAATGATATGAGTGCATTTACTGCTGTTAATGACTGTGTACCCAGGTGTGTCGCTTTTCGACCAGGGTATACCCTGTTGCGTCGTTTTCCCTTTATTTTTTGTGTGTGTTTCAAGCTTGTTTCTTTAGCGCGATCTGATGAGTGCCATGGTCGGTGTGCACGTGGGGATGATGCCCACAACCCATCGAACTACCCACGATTTCACATGCATGATCATCAAATCATGGGTGCATCACCCAGCACCACGACCTCCGTTCCTCCGGGCACTCATCGTGCCCCCCCCCCCCCCCCAGGTTGACCACCGGGCATTCGCCACCGAGTTCCTGCCGCACTTTCTCGGTACTCACTACTCGTGGCTGGGTGCAGAACAGAAGGAGGCGTTGTTGGCCCCGTGGAGGGCGGGGACGCACCTGGACGTCCCCACGTTTTCGTCGTTCCTAGAGGCCTTGGTGTCGGATTTGTCGTTCTTCCGCGCGCAAGCGAACGCTGCGTGATGATTTTTTGTGTTGACGGTTACTACATCATGTTTGGATGTTTGGGGTTAGTGTCGTGCGTTGTTTGTCGTGAGTAAAAAGTACAATGAAATTCTGTTCCTTGATGAGGCGTTTCACAAGCCATCTATCGTTCCCTATCATTGAAAATGCCACGAAGCTCGTTGTTCAAGTTAGAACGCAAGCGGTGGGATAACAAAAAATGACAGTCCCAAGGGAGCATGCCCGTGGGTCGGCCGCCCTGGCTGCCTCACGCTCTCCCTTCTCGAGACCCACTTCCCTCATTATCTCTCGTGCTCTCTTCATGGTTCTGGTGCCAAGCAACGCACGTCTGTCTGGGCTCAACTGATCTCCGATCCGAAAAATCCTCAAACCGAACCTTTAGTAGCTACTTGGCCGTCAGGACCGTGCCACACGTTTCGCCCTACATCCTCAACTTCACCTGTGCACAGAGATGGAAGGTCGTGTCAGTACATATACGCCTAGCACCGTAAGCCGATGGCGTACAAGGACTGTTGGACTGCGTGGCTGCAATATTAGCATTTGGCATTGCTTTTTTGTCAGAGCGACGGACGACGCCTGGGTTCTCGCCACAATGCTGCTGACGTCTTGATAAACACGGGCGAATGCATGAAGATCATCCATTAATCGAGCTTTTCGTCGAAATCTTCTGCTCTGCCTCCTTTGTTGCGGGCAAGAAGCACAGGAGGGCGGTCCATGATCACCCGAGACTTGATGATTTGATTTCCAGCGCGGGGGCGGGATAGGGATAAACCGTCTTCGAAGGTTAGGACCGATGGCGCGGTTGCTCTCGCCCTCACCCCACTCATGACCAACATGGGGTCGTCGGTATGCGTTTCCAAGACACGCGCTAGGTTACAGCGGGTCAACTCCTTTTTTCCATCTTCTTTATTCTCTTCTCATCTATTTTTTCCGTGCCACACTCACTTGTCCCGTCTACATCCTGTTTTACCAGAAAAATATCGCCTCTTTTCCGAAAAAGAAAAAGAAAAATGCCGTCCATATGTATGTACCCACAGCCTTCATCATCGAACCGTCTTGCGAGCACGAAAGCGCTCTTGGGAAACAAGAAACGACCATCAACCACAACGGAGAAAGAGTGGGCGGGTGTCCAACCAACCAATCAAATCGACCGGCCATATGGCAACATGGACGAACTTTGGGGCCACCAACAATGTTGGTGGTGATTCTCTACCCGAGCACAGCTCCTCAGAAAAAAACGCCAACACACAAAAAGGATAACCAACAATAATGAACAAGAGTTTGGGTGTTGGCGTTTTTGCCTACACGCAGCAGTTACCGGTACTGCTGTTGCCTCATCTGCCAAGACAGCCACAACAGCGACGCTCTCAACCTCCCCCCCCCCCCCCCC